ACGTCGGTGGCACGGAGGTGGCTCGTGTGAGGAGGGCCTGCTGCGTGGGGCCGCCCCCTGCTGGACGTCGGTGGCACGGAGGTGGCTCGTGTGAGGGGGGCCTGCTGCGTGGGGCCGCCCCCTGCTGGATGTCGGTGGCACGGCAGTGCACACATTTGAGGAGGACCTGCCTGTGGGGGCTGCTCTGCTGAATGGCAGTGGCTTGGTGGTACACAAAGTTGATGAGGGTCTTCCTTTTGGAGCCATCCTGGGATGTGAGGACTTTGTGTCTGTGGTGCCTCCCTTTTGGGAACCATCTTCGCTGCTCTGTGGAGAACACTTCCAAGTGAACATTGCGGCTCTGGGTAGAACCCAGGCCCAGTGCTCTGACGTTTTTAACACAGCCAAGGAGACTCCCCACCTTAACATCCAGATGAGGGGGCTCTGAGCAGAAAGGCCCGTTGTGTGGCGTCTCCTCAGACATGCCCAGTGTGCTGAGCAGTGACCGACCCTACTGTGTGGTGGCACACTCCCGGTGTGCGTCCACCGGGCACCGCAGGCAGGAATGTGGAACACCTCCTCTGTGAGAGCACCACTGAGGCTTCCTCCCTGGCCAGAGCAGGCGGTACTCAGCGCGCCCCTGGCAGGGCCCAGGGCTCAGAGTTGTGTGGCTCTGTCCAGGTGACCTGTGTCCGTGTAGTGTCACCTAGGACTCCCAGCAGGTACAGGACGGCGTGCGCACTCCCCTCCCCAAGGAACCAGTCTCCTCTCCACACTTGTTTTTGCTTTGTGCATGGAGGTGACTTGTGGCCCTTCAAGGGGCCTTAATAGACCGTGTCTGATGCCTAACATTTCAGGTATGACCTGGATGCATGTGACATCCAAGAGAAGTACCCCGATCTGTTCCAAGTGAACCTGGAGGTGGAGGTGGAGCCCCGGGACCGGCCCAGCCGAGAGGCCCCGCCATGGGATAGCCTGGGCATGAAGGGACTCAATCCCAAAATCCTGTTCTCCAGCCGGGAGGAGCAGCAGGACATCCTGTCCAAGTTTGGTGAGTCCTTTCTGTGTGTGCTTCAGGATTAGCCGTCTGAGGTCCGTCACTACAGCGGGAAACTGACGGCAGCCGGCCAGGGTGCTCACCCACTGGTGGCCAGAGAGCTGCTTCTATATCGGGCCTGGAGACGCCTTGCCCTGCCTGGGCCTGAGTGCGGTTGGCCCTGGGGGTCTGGAGGTGCCTCTCGGGCGTACCTCTGTGCCTCACTTGTTCCTGAGGTAGGGCTGGCCCTGGGGGTGCCTCTGGCCCACCCCACTGCATTGCCTTCTTTGCTGGAGGTGGGGCTTGCCCTGAGAGCAGACAGGGGCTCCCAGTGGGGCCTGGCTCAGCCTTTGGGAGGCCTCCGCCTGGCAGTGCCTGCACCCATCCCCCCACGGCCAGGGCTGTAGAAGTGAACCTTCTCCCAAGCTCTTCTCCATGTGGGCCGAGGGTGTCCCCAGCAGCACAAGAAAAGTTTCACTAAGTCTAGTCTGTAAAACTCACTGATGGAACTAGCTTAAGACCTAGCAAAAGAAAGATTCAGTCCCTGGCATTTTCCGTGGCTCACGCACCGTCTCCCTGGGCCACTGGCCTGCTCTAGGCCCACGCCATTCCCAGGCCAGGCCCAGCCCTCACGGCACCGTGCCTCCGCACACTTGGGCTCCCCCCTCAGGTGCAGCCCCCAGCCCCCAGACCAAGGAGACAGAACCATTTTTTGTCTCCCACGTGAGCAGGAATTTCGCATGGTTCCTGAAACCTGGGCAGTGGTCTGCTCCCGTGCAGCCCGAGGCCTGAGGGCTCTGCCCTGAGTGGCTGTCAGGGACATGGTGTCTGTGACCTTGCGGGCGGGCTCTCCCTCCCAGGCGCGTGGACTCTGATCCCCTTACTCAGGCAGGTTCCCTTTTCTGGCCACGTCCACCCTAGATGTGTGGGTTGAGTGGCTCTGCCACGGGCACACGACCCCTCCCATTCAGCTCCACTGATGCAGGAGCCTGTCATCTTGTTCCAGAGCAGTTCCCACAAAAGTATGAAAAACGCCGTCGGGGGCAGGAGTTGGCCTTCAGCCTGCTGCCCTGCTGTATTTGTCCTCACATCCTGGGTTTCCGTTTTTCATGTTTTTTAATCTGAGGAGAGCAAGGTACCACTGAGAGACGCGCACACGTGTGCATGTGTGTGGTCGTGTGTGTACACAATCCATGTACATGTGACTCAGATAGCAGCTGAGTGGACAGCTTCCCCCAGCATGTGGGCACAGGTTTTCCAGGGGTGCTGGGGCCACACCCTGGAGCTATTGCTGGTGCGTAGAAGCCGAGGTGCTCGTGTTGGGGGGCTGTGTGGCCTTACGTGTGCCTCCCTCACCTGACAGGTAAACCCGAGCTCCCCAGGCAGCCCGGCTCCACAGCCCAGTACGACGCCGAGGCGGCGGTACAGTCCCCGGAAGGGGAGCTCACAGGGTCAGAGTCTCCACAGAGCAGCTCGGATACAAACCACTTCCTCCACACTCTGGACTGGCACGGTAGGGCCCTTACACCACCCCGATGCCGTCGCCCCGTCCATCAGTGCACCCGCTTTGCCCCTGCTGTCCTCGGACACTGCTGTGCCCACTGCACTAGGCCCCACAGCCGCCGGTTACCGTCAGGCTCCCGGGAACTCAGGACCAAGGCGTCCGGCAGAAACCCACACTCCCTGCATGGAGAATGCCCCATCACTCACCCGGACCGTGATCCGTGAGGCAGGTGACAGCTGGGGCCAGCAGCCAAAAGGTGGCTGGGCAGAGCCGAGGAAGAAGCAGGGTATCCACAGAGGAGACGGCCTCCCACTTCTCGGCAAATGCAGAGAAGGCCACAAAGCTGTATTTGCTCTAGCCCATTACGGGAGCTGTTTGCCTACCCCCGCCCTCAGGCCCAGGCCCCACACGACCCTCTCAAACCACCTGTTAGCTCTGCTCTGTGTGCCCACCCAGTGGGGTTCGTTGAGGGCGTCTGCTGAGGCGTGCGGACACGGGCGATGTGTGAGTTGCCGCTGAAGAGTGTATGTTGTGAGGTGCCCCCCAAGGGGTGTCATTGAGGGATGTGTCCACTAAGGGATGCCCACTGAGGGGGGGTGTGCTGTGGGGTTCATGCCAAGGACTGTCCTTTGAGAGGAGCCTACACGGGGTGGCTGCCAGGGCTGTCTGCTGAGGGGAGCCCACGGGGGGTGCCTCCCAAGGGCTGTCTGCCGAGGGGAGCCCAC